TACCACTCGAGATACTAGCTTGTTCCACCCTGTCTGGTCCATCTAGGCAACCCAGCCGAAACGAGTTTGAGCCGCTCTACTAGAGGCTTTCCACCATACAACTCATCTTATGATATTATGTACTGTACCTCGCTAAATACACCCACATCCACTTGTAGTAGCTCTCCAACACCCAATTCAGATATAACCCTACATCGTCGCAGACCCGCCAACCCCCAAAAAGATCCCGCCCTCAATAGTAAGCCTTCACCTCCAACCGCGCGAGCAAATGATCAAACACGCTCGTCGGGCCCTCCCTCCCCCACGCTCTCCGTCCAGTCAACGAGGAAGACAGCGGCTCAACACCACTAGCACCACCACCACCACCATCCACCCCCTTCAAGCACGCCAGAAACCCGGCGACCTGTTTCCGGAACAAGAGATACAAGCGACGCACCTCCTCCACGGCCTGGGGACCCCTCACCCCGTCCGCCCCATCGACCAGCGAGAAAGGCGCGAACTCCAGAATCGGAGTGAAGCACGCCTCGAGCCACCGCCTCGCCTTGTCCAGTTGATGATGATTATCATCGTGTTGTGCTTCTTGTGCAGAGCTCTGATCCGACTGCTCCAGCGCCAGCTCCAGCTCCGCCTCGCCGCTCAACATCATCGCCCGCAGCATCTCGTCCAGCATGGCCTCGTGCATCTCGCGGAGCCGCGGCACCGAGCCGCCGGCCGCGTCGATGGCGCCGTCGATGTCCCCGCGGTCCAGACAAGCCTCGACGCGAGCCAGACGGTCCTGGAAGCGCGTCCAAGCCGCGCCGACGGCGACGTGGCAGCAGTAGTCGGCGACAGCGAGGACGAAGTGCTGCGCCTCGACGCGGAAGCGCTGGTAGATGTTGTGCGGGTCGCCGGACAGGGAGGTGCGGGCCGTGGCGTCGCGGATCAGCGTCGTCGCGACGGAGACCATGCGCTGGAGGCGGAGGAGGTGTTTGAAGAGGAGGTCGTATTTGGTGAGGGCGTTCGCAGTGAGGATCGTGGCGAGGACGGCGGTGGGCGGGGTGTAGATTAAGCGGAGGAAGTCGAGCGCTTCGAGCGCGTGCGGGTTGCGCGCGCGTTGGGTGGCGGCGGGGCTGAGCGTGCGGATTGAGAAGCTTAGGGTGTCATTGGGTTGGGGGTTGTTGGTGGGGTTGGTGGTGTTGGTGGTTGAGGAGGAAGATTCGTCGAGAAGGCCGATCAAGACGAGGCGCAGTTCGGAGCTGGCGGGGGGCCAGGTGTCGCGGCTGCGGGTTCCTAGGCGAAGGCCGGTGTGGACGGCGGTGCGGACGATGCCGGATTTGCGCTCGCCGCTGGTCATCTCGGGGTCGAAGAGGGCGTGGAAGAGGCGGGTGGTGAAGAAGCCATCTCCCAGGAGTTGGAAGCGCCATTGGAGGGTGAGGTGGGTGCGCAGGTGGTGTTCTTTGAAGAGCATGTATAGGCAGGCATAGTCGATGAGAATGGCCTGAGAGGAGAGGAGCGGCGCGAGGGACAAGTAAGGTGTAGATGTTAATTCGGGGCTGAGCTCGTGGCTCTGGGTGTGCTGGGACTCGAGATGAAGTGGGCGAGCTTCTTCGATCAGGCGTCCGAGTCGACTCTGCGATAGAGCCGCATCGTCTGGCAGGAGGCCCGCTGTCTTCGAGGCCTTGTCGATGTCGAGCAACTCGAACGCTCCGTCAGTCTCGCTGTGCATCTCGGGATTTGGGGCAAGTGACGTTGCAGCGGCATGTGTGTCGAGCTGTTCCCCTCGGTTGTATTTCAGGATTGCAGCACGCAGCCGCGCCTCGTATTCAGATGCCTTTCTCTGAATCTTCTCGATATCAAACCAGGTGCCAGCACAGTCAAGCTTGACTGACTCAGCCCCATAGGTCGCGTGGCTTGCGATGGGATGTTGTGGGTGATTTCGCTTGAGAAGCCGTAAACTCCGTCCAGTTTCGAAGATAAGCTGTGCCTGGTCCGAAGGAACGAAGGATGGCATCATATCTGGAAGGAATCTATAATCGACTGTTGTCGCCCTAGACGAGAATGTGTGTTTATCCGTTGTCTCGCGAAACACAAAGGTCCTCCCGCTGGACGCGAGCTCAATCGAAGTCGACGTCTCCGGCTGGAAACCCACCCAAGTCTCCACATAAGAAAGCCAAGGTTCCATAACCCGAGCAATAACTTGTCGCAGAAGAGGCTCCATCTGGCCAAAGACCTGCGAGAAGTGGGCCGCTCGTTCAAGGACAATGGAGATTAACTGGGTCTCGGATACTGCTCCCTGGACGGCGTCAACCATGTTCGCTAGCACGTGCACGAGATCCCCACATTGCGCGAAGAGGCTCTTGATCTGAAGGAGTGAAGCAATATGGCTGGCATCTCTGGCGAGTTGCTTTTCAAGGGTATAGATGATGACCGCTGCTGCGCTAGAGAAAGCGCTGAGCGTCGATAGTTCGTTCGACCTGACAGGAATCCTGTCTACAAAGCGTCGAATCTTCTGCATTCTGGTTCCGCACCCAATCAAATCAGTTGTGACCGCCTTGAGTGCAGTAGAAGTGAGGCCGGAGATGCGAAGATTGTCGTGCACGACCTCGAATGTGTTGTGTTGTTCATTGTAGCGAAAGTACCTGGAACCCCTGCCCAATCCGAGTCGAAACAAGGCCTGGAAATAGACACCGTTGCGAACAATGAGATGTCTTTCTGGGCTGTTGTTCTTGGCAGCTTGATGTGCTAATGCCGCGTCGAAGCCTTTGGCGCCGGACTCGCTGAAATATGCGGTTACTTGCTCACGGTGGTTTCGGTCAAGGAACTTCTCCCAGGAATTAAGTGAGACTTCATGGTCAGGGTTCGGCAGAATGTTATCCGGCGCCCAGATGTCATCTATAGGCTGGTGTCCATCTTCTGTTTGTTCCGTCTCCTCGTTGTGATCGAAACTCGTCTCGAACTGGCTTTCGCTGGAGGTATCTAACGTCGGTAGCAGTGGCGGTTCCGGGTCACCGAAGCTGGTTTCGAAAACATCGAGCTCAGGTATCCGAGGCGCAACCTTGTCAAAGATGTCTAGAGGTAGTCTGAAGACTCCGCCGGAGAGATCTAATCAATTGCCATTGGTTAGTCCATTTGCGCGCAACCGTGCCGGCAACAATTGTACACACCTGGTAGCCTCTCATCCCACGGCAGGGCCTCCAACGGCTGCAGACATTGCAGAGTGAACTCGGAGAGTCTCCACAGACCCTCACTCGAGAACGGGTCCCTGACACACTCTTCCGAGTCCATTGTCACTGGTCGAAGAAACAAACCGCACACCGCAACGGCCTCTGAGCAAAGGGTTGCTCCAGACAAATCGTCATCATCGGGGAAATTGCGACGCGTTTCAGACTGACAGCGCGAGATCACCGGCTCACTAATAGGCTGGTTACCTGAAACGGGTTAGTTTCCCCCAGGCTAAGGTACGCCCGGGCCACCGCTTGTTCGGGAAACCGAGAGGAGTTGAACTTGGGAATTCAGGTTCGCCCGCAGCTAACCTGCTGTTGCTTGCATCTCCGGACATTGAGAGCTACAAGGAAGCTCAATCGGCCAAATCACGGCGATAATACCGCCTCTCTAACCGTCCCTTTCGCTTAATTACTTCTCATCACACGCGCGACACACACCAATAATCACTATGCCCCCTCGAAAGAAAGCCAAGCTCACCCCCCCAGGTGGCACCACCGAACCCTCCTCCGCAAGCGCCGCCGCCCCGGGGGGAACCCAACCGCCCGCCGACTACGACCCGGTCACAGACCCCTGGACAGATGAGCAAGAGACAGCATTGTTGAAGGGGATCATCAAATGGAAGCCCGTCGGTACGTTAGGCCCGCAACGATTTCCGCTCGAAGATTTCTTTTGGGCTGACTTGTGTGTGCTGCACCGCACCGCCACCTTGACAGGCATGCATAAACACTTCCGCATGATCGCCATCTCGGAGTTCATGAAGAGTCAAGGATACGCGCCCGCCAATGCCGAACATACTCGAATCCCCGGGATCTGGAAAAAGCTAGGCACTTTGTACAACCTCCCAGCTCTGGATGAACGTGTAAGTCTCTTGACTTGTGTGATGCACCCATCCCCAGGCGCGTCACGGCTTTTGCTAGAGGTTGACTCAAATGTCTTGACGTGCGTTCTAGGAAGATTCCCTGATCACCGATATCCCCGATGACGTCGATGGCACAAAGGAGTTCTATTGCCCATTCGAGCTGCCCGAGGACGAATACGGCGACCTGATGTTCGAGAGAAGACTGGCGATGGAGGGATCCCCGTCGCCGGACCCGAGTGGACCGGCGGATTCGCGAAGAGGGAGCACGGTGGCGGATACGGATGGTACGTTTTGGTTTCCAATGAACCCTAGGCCCTCTCAGTTTTGGGTCCCGACATGGGCGCGCGTTGTGAAGCTCTATGTTCCCGTTGATGGAGATTAACTGACTGTCCCTTTCCGGAGATTTAGAACCCCGCTCGTCTCCCGCGCCCTCGCGAGGAAGGAAACCCGGTCGTGGTGGACGGCAAGGGGGCCGTGGTACGCGCTCATCGCGACTGCAGGTTGAGATTGAGACTGTCGGGAAAAGTTCAGGCAATGGCGAGGACGAAGGGGAGTCGGGCGATGAGTCGGATGAAGGCGATGAGGACGGTTCGGACGGGGCCAAGGACGATAGCGATCCGGACGAGGAGGCCGATGGAGATGCTGGGGGCTCGCCGACGACACGGAGCACGCGGGCGCAGACGTCTCGGTCGAAACAGAAGGAGAAAAAGGGCGCAGGAACAGGTACGAGAAGAGGCGGCCGGAGACGACAGGCTTGAGGAACGCTGTTTGGTGCGCGTGATTGTGTTTTTTTTTTACTACTGCAAGAGTTGATACCTGGAGCTAGGAGCTGGCGTCTGGGGTTTGTCTATCTTTGTACGATTACCTTTGCCTATTTCGATATCACCGCATTTCAGGTGGTATCTATGAATTCTTATCGGGTTTTTGATCATGCTCCCCAACATTAACCACAAATATCATGAAGTGTCACTGTCATTATACATGCACCCAAGCATATCACAGCCTTTTAGGACAAAGAGATAATATAGCATCTACATACATTGAGGGACATATAGAAATTGGAGTACACATTTAGTCTAGTCATTCACAGGCTAAAGGAAAAGAACAAGGTATAAAGAGGGAATAGTACAATCGTAGCTGAATCCCTTACAGACGCGACATGATGGCCTCGGCATACTCGTGGGTCTTGGCCTTACCGCCAAGATCACCGGTGAGGGCCTTACCCTCGGCAAGGGTATCGAAGGTGGCCTTCTGGATACGAGCAGCGTGCTCGGTGAGACCCATGTGCTGAAGCATCATGATACTGCTCAGGAGCAGAGCAGTGGGGTTGGCAAGACCCTTGCCAGCAATGTCGGGGGCGGATCCGTGGACAGCCTCGAAGATCGAGCACTCGTCACCAATGTTACCGGAGGGGGTCAGACCGAGACCACCGATGAGACCGGCGCACATGTCGGAAAGAATGTCACCGTACAGGTTGGGCATGACAAGAACCTTGTCGTTGTAAGGAGCGGGGTCGGTAACGATCTTCAAGCAGGAGTTGTCAAGGAGCTCGGCGTCGAACTCAATGTCGGGGAACTCCTTGGCAATCTCGCGGGCGAGATTGAGGAAGAGACCGTCGGACATCTTCATGATGGTGGCCTTGTGCACGACACGGACCTTCTTCTTGTTGATGGAGCGGGCATACTGGAAGGCGAAGCGGAGGACACGCTCGGAAGCCTCACGGGTGATGAGCTTGATGCTCTGGACAACACCGTCGACGACGACGTGCTCAATGCCGGAGTATTCACCCTCAGTGTTCTCACGGATCAGGACGGTGTCGACGTTGTCGTAGGGGGTCTTGTAGCCGGCAATGGAGCGGCAGGGACGCACGTTGGCGAAGAGGTTGAAGGTACGACGGAGGGTGAGGTTGAGAGAGACGTGTCCCTTACCGACAGGGGTCTATTAAGGGTGCTTATTAGCCAATGCTTCTATAGTAGCCACCGTGGAATGCGAACTTACAGCGAGGGGACCCTTCAGGGCAACGTAGTTCTTCTGCACGCTCTTGATGGCCTCGTCGGGAATGGCGGTCTTGCCATCCTTCAAGATGGGAGTAACATCGACGGGCTCCCACTTGACAGGGGCCTAGATAGCGATACTGGTGAGTATTGGGTGATGCGACACACAGATGGTCGAGAATGGGAGAGCTTTACATTAGCGGCAGCGAAGATATCCTTCACCGACTGGGAGATCTCGGGGCCGATACCATCACCCTCGATCAGGGTAACAGTGTATTTTCCCTAGAACCAAATCGTTAGAGCCATGGTTAGATAGAATTCCGTACAGTATTGTTTGCGAAGCCAGGGAGAAAGGAGGAACTGTCGATGATCGCGGCGGAAGTTGCCGGACCAAAGGACATGGACGGGCAGGTATGGGGAAAAAAAGTTCAGGCGGTTGGCCCGGAGCGCAACATACATCAGAACCCTTCTGTCCCTTGAACTTTGCGACGCGCTCGTCAGCAGCGGCGGAGTAGGAGCGAAGCTATACAGATAGTCAGCTTCAAAGAACTAGCTTGTCCCAAGACGGATCGGGACAAAGGCTCTGTCCGATCCTTACCTGAGAGAGAGGCGACGCAATGCGAGGGGACACACGTGTGGTCCGCAAGCATTGGCGGGCGGGAGCGACAAAGTTCCTAGCAGCGATCATTGTGACAGGTCCCCGAGAATACAACGACGGACGGGTGAGAGGATAAGATAGGAAGGTTTGGTGAAGAAAGAGGGGAGAGGTGAGGAGAGAAAGAGGAGAGGAGGAGAGGAGGAGAGGAGGAGAGGAGGAGAGGAGATGGGAAGGATGGGAAGGGAAAGGCGGCGGGCACGGGCGGTCGGTGCGGGCGGACTGGCTTTGCTGTGTGAAAGCAGTTTGAACCTGAATGAGTGTGAACTTCCTTCCCTGCCCAGTCTCGGCAGCGCCGCTCCCGGTCCGACCAGACCAGCAGCCATCCAGGCATGCCGTGTGTGGCCGTTTGGCCGTTTGGCTGTTTGGCTGTTTGGCTGTTTGGCTGTTTGGCTGTTTGGCTGTTTGGCTGTTTTGGCCAACTGGACCCACGATCAGATAACTGAGCAAGTAGACTACCTAGTACTCCGTACCTCCTACGTATTCCGACCGTCCCTTGTCAGGCCTGCCAGGTGGTGATGCAGTACTAATCTAATGACCTAATGCTGGGAAACACGGCACGTTTTAGCTTTATCCACTACTCTTGTTATCCTTGCCTTCTTAGGAAATCTGACTTCTCTCTTTCTACTCTTGCTCCACCTCATCTAGACTATCTGTACCGTACAGCTGCGTGTGACTGTATGACGCTGTGACAGCCTAATTGTCTTCTCCTTAGTCTGTCGCACGTTTAGCACAACGACGACGACCACCACCACTACCTCTTCCTCACCACCCTCCTTCCTCCTCCCTCGGTGATCCCGCTCGTCCTCACCATGGCCGAGGTCGACGTGGCCAGTTACTATAATCTCCCATCGGCTTATCCTGAAGAATGGCCCGCAGAGTTGGACGAAAGCGATCCGGAGGAAGCCGAGGCGCTGGAACGCCGCGGCTCTCGCTCGGAACGGTCTCGCTACTTCGCCTTGGAGCGCAATAATAGCACTCGAAAGAGTGTCACCTTGGGCTCATTTAAAGGCAATAATGGGCGGGAGAATCTCAAGGTGGATGAACCGGACCCCCTTGGAATGGGCGACAGCGTGCTCAAGATCCTTAAAGCTCGAGGCTTATCTCTGGACGAAGAGAGCCGTTTGCGAAACCAATTCTTGCTCTCTTCAACCTCGTTCTCCCCTTCACTGTTTCTTTCTCAAGTACATTCCGACGCGTCGATACAATCCCTCCTCGATGGCCTCGATTGTCTCTCCCGATCCATCGACCAGAAGTCCGCATCCCTGAAAGTCCTCGTCGAAGCAAACTTTGAGCGCTTCGTCCGAGCGAAGGCCACGATTGATAGTGTCTATACGGAAATGAAAACCCAAGGTCAGAAGGAGGAACTGTTAAGCCCCCAAGGTCACCGCAGGTCGGTTGGACATTTCCGAAACCTTTCCGGTAGCAGGCACAGCATCTCCACTACCGCCATTACAGAGGTTGGACCCGGAAAGAATGCTCTCACCAAGGAGAGCGAGTACGGCATGAAGGGTATCCGAGTGCCTCTGCTGGAAGCGTCCGTTAAGGCTGAGGAGGTGTGGGGGCCAGCTTTGGGCGGTCGCGAGAGAGAGCAGGTGCTGAAATCAGTGGTGGAAATGATGGAAAAGCACCGGGATATCTACGAGATCGGAGGGCAACTGTCTAAGTCGATCAAGCAGCGAGATTATGATTCCGTTTTTGAGCAATTTCGCAAAGCACGCTCTCTTGCGAAGACCGCCAAGAACATCGCCGAAACCGCGACAGGGAGGGACCGGCCACTGACCGATGAGGAAACGCACGTTATCTTGGCCATGGGAAGGATGTGGATAGATGTGGACCAACAGATCCAAGCGTTCAAGCGTGATCTGTGGAGGCGTTTGAGTGACGCGCCTACAACATCAACGACCATCACAGCAACTGGTCCAGTCGAGGAGCACATGGAGTTGATATGTGCTCTTCTAGAATTAGGGGTGGATGACAATCCTATCTGGGTTTGGCTTCTTAGCCGATATGATTTTCTCAAGACCAAGATCATAGCTTTCTGTGAGCGTTGCAAATCAGAGATAGAGATCTTGAGACGCCGGCTTGCTAGCGGTGAGAAACCGACACCTCAAGCAGTGGCCTCGTATCTACGCCTCGCACCACGTGATAATTCCAAAGAAAACGAGTCAATGCGAGATACTGATCAGGTGATTGAGTTGTGGGGGTGCATCAATACCTACTTGACCAGGCTTTTATCTTCTCAGGGGGGTCTTCTTGGTGAAGTTTTCGACTTCTGGGAGGTAGCGCAATCCTTCATCGACGGCAGCAAGCAAAAGCTTTTACCAGCCGGGTTCGAGGGGGAAAGCCGTAAGCACCACCGGCTGTCCTCCAGTGATGTGAGGGATCTGCAGAAAGGCGCCGTTGAGCTTATTAACTTGATTCGCGAGAGTGTACTGTCCCTGTTTGCTGACCCGCCAGTGGATGATGTGTCTCTCCTCACATCTCCGATCTCTGCAGCGAGTCCCAACAGCCCAGGAAGCCTCGGAGTGACTCCTACAGAATCGCGTTTCAAGCTGGACCCCAAGAACATGCCCTTTCCCACTCCCAAACGCGGGGAATATTGGGAAGACTATGCCTTCTGGCCGCCCTTCTCGAATTCCGTCAGCGGTGTGCATTATCTCAGTCAATTTCTGGTAACAATTGGAACAGCGGCTAGTGAAATGGCCGCTTTGGAGCCGGTGTCGAGCAGCGGCAATACTCACGATCTCCTCAAATCGCTTGTTAGTGTCGCCCGTGAGCGCTCCGTGCGTGTGGCCTGCGCGGCCTGGGGCAAAGATGCCGAAATTTGCAAGATGCTTGAAGACTGGACACGAGACCCGGAAAGAAGGGATCTTACGAAGATGCCTGGCCTATTCGTTTCCTTTGAGAATGCCATCATCAGTGGCATGCAAAGAATACTCTATATCTCGGAAGCTATGGTGAAGGCGGGCTCTGTAGATATCGTTACACAGCCATCTACAAAGCTGTTGCTCATGGTGCGCGGCCAGTTTGTGTCGAGCGTCTACAAAGCTCTCAGTGGACTCGTCGAGAATGCGGAACATCCCGCATCTACAGACGGGGAAGATGAGTGGGTTCTAGCTGGACCGACAATCACCAGAACCACAACTGATCCAGCAACATCCCTGCTTATAGCAGACGCGGTGGATGTTCGTGATCGTGTGAGTACTTGCCCTGGCCCTTTTCCCAACTGCTTTATTGGAAATTGACTGTGATATAGAATGTGCGCCTGCTGTTGACTTTATCGAACATCAAGGCCTTCCAAGCCGACCTTGTTCCTCAGCTAGTTGCATACTTTGAGAACTCCTTCTCGGTGAAATTGACCGAAGAGGCAACGACTATCCGGGACGTACTCGGCCAGATAGAAGATCGTTTGTTCCAATCATACACCAAGCCGACCATCAACAAACTAAACTCCACAATCATTGAGAGCATTGCTGGACCCGACTGGGAACCAGCTGGTGACTCGCGGCCAGAGCAGGTTCGCCCATATGTGTATAACGCGATGTTGGCACTTGTATTGGTTCATACAGAAATCACAACCACAATTCCGTCCACCCTGTTGACCACGGGAAGTCGTTCACTCTCGGCCGCACAGTCGCCTCTGCTATCGGTCATCCTCACATATCTGTTGACCCAGATCTCAACATCTCTTTTGACCGCCTTCAGCACACGGTCCCAGTATACGCTCGCAGCTTTGATGCAGGCGACGCTCGATACGGAGTTCATCGCGCAAACCATGTCCCAATACTCAACTGACGAGGCATCAGCCATCCAGAGCCAAATCTATGTGGAACTGGACCGTCGAACCACTCACGAAGCTCGCGCGCGACTGCAGTCAGAGCTGAGCGAAATGCGGGTCACCCTCAAGCGATTGAGGGAGAGGACAAAGGGGGAATTCGCTTGTTTCAGAAAACCACGCAGCGGCGGAGGGCACAAAGCTTCCGCATGAGTATTCTTTCAGCACTAGCTATGTTATGCATATGAGTCCAAAATAATCTCACACAACATACATACGTAGATGCATGCACCCGAGTATGTACAATAAATCAATCAATTTCGAACTCTTAACGTAATAAGTTCGCGGGTATCATATTTTTTACCAGTTCTTGCTCCCTCTTCAGGAATCGCATCCCTGTTCCAAGCTCCGCCTCTTTTTTTTTACGTTGATCCAACCATCCGTTGCACCCGACTCAGCAACACCGTACTCTCCCTCCCCAATCTCCTCTTCCCACTCTGGTCCGGCTTCTTAGCCCGAGCCATAGCCTCCCGATCCTTCTGCCTAAACTCCCTCTCCTCCCTCCGCCTCTCGGCCTCCTTCTTCCGCTTCTCCGCCAGCTCCAACTCCTTCGCAAAAGCCGACGGCTTCGGTTTCCGGGCCCGACGGCCCCCCCGCGCATCGCGGCCGCCGTTGTCCGCTCGTTGACCAGCAGCAGGCTTGGGCGTCGGCTCCGGCTCCGGCTCGTTCAGCATCGCGATTCGGTCCGGGTGCAGTTCCAAGGATGCGGACGCGGGCTCGGGCTCGACTACGTCTTCTTCCTCCTTGTTGCCTTCTTCATATTGATCGGCCGTGTAGATAGGCTTGGGCGGGGCCGCTGCCAGCGCTTCGTCGCGGATTTTGGCATACGCTTTCTTGACCTTGGCTTTTTGGATCAGGTCGGATTTGATCTTCTGGGCTATGTTTTGGGGTGGGTGCATGTTAGCTAAGTGCTATGGGAGGATAAAAGGTGCGGGAATTTTGGAGGGGCATTGCGGATGGAAGAAATGCGACTTACTTTTGCGACGATAAGTGCCATCGGGTAGATTGGCAGGGCCGACGGAGAAGCCCTTTCGTTTTTTGACTGGCGCATCGCCGCCGGCGGTCGTTGCGGCTGGTCGCGTTTCTTCGGGGTTGGTCTCGTCGCGGGTGCGTTTGGGTGCCATGGTGGATTTGTTTGGGTGTGGTTGTGGTGGGTGTGGTGGTTATAGTGGTGGTGATAAAATGTTTAAGGTATGGTTCTTGAAACTTTGTGGTGTGTGCCTGTCTGGCCCAGGGTTTTTCAAACGGACAGCAAAAAGATTGGACGTGATAAGGCCAAGTTAAGACGGTGTAGGTCACACTGTATGAAAGAAAGTATCGGGCAACAATTGCGATACTTTGCTGTCCCACCTGATTGTTTCTCTGGGAAAAGGACTTGAAAAAAAAAAAAAAAGGTTTAGCAGCAGCAACGGGGAGAAGATCCCGTGCCGCAACGACCGCCGGAAAAAGTTGGAGTCGTACAGGATCGGCCTCGTCAGGTACAGTACATGTACAGTTCTCCTCGTAACAAGGATTCTTTTTGTGAGTTGTCACCAACAGACAAGTGACACGATAGCTCGGGTGCACACAATGTGGCAGAAGTTAGAGTGTACTTAAGAGGAGAAAACAAGTCATATTTCCAGAAGAACTCGTGGGACAAGGAGAGGGGGAAAGCAAGAGTGAGTTAAGTTATGGGTTGGTCTGGATTACTGTACCGTCATGGGGGGTATTGATTCATTAGTTCCGCCTTTTCGCCCCCCCCCCCCCTGCGGCTTCTCCTCATTCTTCTTATTCTTCTTTTTATGAGCTCGACTATTAACTTGCTCGTACTACTACCAACTGACCAACTACCACCACCACCACCACCATTCTTGCTGCAATCTCCTCAAGTTACCCTCAACTGCGGTGGATCTTGTTCTTTACTGACTGTCTTCGTGGTATTATTTGCCTGTGTACTTACTTACTTATCTTCTGCTTCATCTCATCTTTTGTCTGTCCATCTTGATCGGTTTAGCTTTGCCATCACCTTATCATGTTGTAACCGCCTCATCCCGCGGTCGATCCATTCAATTCCGTCCAGGCCATACATACTCCACCAGTCCACCTCACGGTGACTCCTCCGCCACTTCGGCCTGACGTGCCACAGCACAGCTCTGATCCTTCCCCTTACCAATATATTAAGACTCCTTGTTCCCTTTCCTGCAAGCTCTTCTACCTTTTAGGGCTGAGATGTTTGCCGTTTCTGCACCTCCCATTGCCCGTCCCATCTTCCGGTGACCATGCCAATCTTTCAATATATGGACCCCGAACGGTCCAGTGACTTATGGTCTGATGACCATTGCTCAGGTCAAGAGATTCAAAATCGAACCATAGCTCCCTGGGAGGACTCTCACATTTCTTCCTCTGGGTTGCGCCCCTCCTCTAGGGACCAGTATAGTAACCCCGAAGGTCCCTCGCCGTTCGATGTATATGACGCAAACGACCGCGGGAAACCAATAGAGCGGTTCAGAAATATCGACGATTTGAAATGGATTCACCATCGCTCCGTATGTCTAGTTATCCTTGAAAAGTCGAGTCTTGCTGCAGCTCCTCTCACTGTCGAAAAAAAATAACTCCTTATTCAACCTATGTAAGGTTTGCAATGATATACCTGCTAACTTGATGGATACAGCTGGGAGAGGCGAATGCCAGTCACGAAGCTCCCCCTTATATTCCACAAAAATACTCCGCTATGAAGGATCAACTAATAGAATCAAATGATGCGAGTGATCAGCTCCCTTCAGACGACCAACAGCTGGCGTCTCCAGCCGATATTGAGCGTCCTCGTTCGGCCCTACACGCTGGGGATTTCCGAGAAGGTAGCTCACAGAACCAGATTCGACAACAATCACAAGACCCGGCATCGCCTAGCTTTGCTCACGACGTACACTACTCGCCTCTCAGCTCTTCTCCAACTACCCCGTGGTTCAGCACAACCGTGTTTCCTGCTGCCTCTGAACGACAAGTCCCATCACATCCATCTACAAACCCGGCAGCACGCTCTCGTGCCCCCTCGCTGGGATCGTTCCCGTCAAGTTATGTTCTCAAAGCACCCACGAGTCCACTCGTCCACCAAGCCAACATCACAGATCTGGACTTCTCGCCACGACCGGAACATTTTAGCTATATTGGCTCCCCTGAGAAAGCCAGCCGCCGGCGCACACTTCCGCCAGAGACTTTTCGAGACATGCAGATTCCTGATTTTACCCATAGACGAGAGACGCATCTTCATCCAGACTCATCGATGAGGGAATGGAATAAAGCCTTGGCCCATCAGTCCCAACCACCAAGACGGTCTTTGACCTCGGGTTATACCCTCCAGCTTGCTTCGTCGGTTCAGACAGCGCATTCCAAATTTAGGCGACCCTCTATTGGCTCCGAGGTCTCGTCCAGAGCATTGGCGCCCATGGTGGGCTCATACGAGGAGTCCATCCTTCGAGGAAGGATGTCGACGAACCCTTCCAAACCGCTGGACTTCACTGCACAGATAGGGGTTCTGGGTAAAGGCAAATGTAAAGGCAGCCTTAAGTGTCCGCCCCATGTCACGATTCCATTCCCTGCCGTGTTTTACAGCTATCCCACCTCAGGATGTGGGCGTTCAATATCGGACGATAGCCCCAGTCCGTATGTGGGCATGATTGACCTTGATAGTTCCCTTCCCAAGGACACATCGAGCGACAGTCGACGCCGGAAACACCGTCATCAAAGCCCTGGGAGCATGCATAATGACCAACACATCCGGTCTCCACTTGACTCAAGGTCGAATGATCAAGAGCTTCTACGTATTTTGGAGAAAAAGCATAGAAGGGCGGAGTCCCCAAAATCGCCGCCGGGCGGCTGTTATCGGATCCCGCAGCAAGGCCAATTACAGGTTATGATAAAGAATCCGAACAAAACTGCCGTCAAGCTGTTCCTCGTTCCTTATGACCTCACTGATATGGAGCCTGGAACTAAGACGTTCATTCGCCAACGGAGCTATTCCGCAGGCCCCATAATCGATATGCCCCTGAGTGCGCGAAAGAACTACGGGACGGATCGTCCTGAGGCATCTTTGAATGCTTCGGAAGATCCAAAGGACAAGCCAATTCTACGTTACTTGATTCACTTGAACATTTGCTGCCCTTCAAAAGGTCGATTTTACCTGCATTCAAGTATCCGTGTTGTCTTCGCCAACCGAGTACCCGACGGCAAGGAGAAGCTACGAAATGAAATTCAACTGCCTTACCCGCGCTATTCACCCTACAAGGCCTCACGAGAGGCCCACCCAGTACATTCGAGTTCTGTGGGCGAGAAGCGGTCGCGAAAGTCAACGCCTGGCCATCCTGCGAAGCCTGAACTTCCCGGCTTTGCCGAGATGTCTCATCCGGGCTACCCGCCTCATTTACAATGCAACCCGTTCGCACGGCATCTTACGACTCACGAGGTGTCCACTCTTCCAAGTGACGAGAACTTCGTTGGGCGCGAGCCGTCGCCACATCCTCTAGCAGGCCGCCTACCAGCGAGAAGGCACGTCAGTCCATCTTACGCACACGCTGAGCTGCGCAACATTAAAGCTGGGCTCTATAGCAAGCTCCATAAGGGCGAGCACGGCTACGGCGGTTATTCGCCCGGTGGAACCGAAGTCGGTGACAGTCTCCTTGCAAAGCGACTACGGGGCCTGGATGTACAAAGACAGAAACACTTTCATCCCCACTGATTTGCCCTCGACGAGCTAAGCGCTGATGTGTAACCTGGTCTGTGACCGTTCCAGCGCGATCGGTAAAATCTAACATTCTTCTGCTCTCTTTCCCTTCCTCCGAAGGCGATGTGTACCTCAACCGGTATCCCCTACTTTTGGGGTGATGCCTGATGCCTTGAAGATCACACCCTTTCCCCGCTAACAAGCAGCTCATACGAATGGGATGCAGGCTCATCTCACGATCTGATCATATCAGTGTCCGTTTATATCCCTTGCTAGTTACCGACCCGGCCCAAAGGTTACGACTACTCCTATCGGACTAGCTTTCTATACCCAACATGTCTATAGCTTTCATAATCCCCTCCTTTCTGAAATCGTCGCCACTGTGTGTGCTAAGGGAACCGTCACTTTGCGCGGCTTCAAGGGGGCGGGACTCTCTTATCTGTTCTTTGGTACTCTTGGGGGTCGAGCCCCAATGTAATAGCAGCTCATTCTACGGCACTTCTTTCGGTACGCTGGCGTTTGTTCGAGGAGTAGATGAATACCAAAGTTGATTCTTCTTCTGGCAGCGTATCATGGAAGTAGTCTTTCTACCTGTGATGATTCCAGGAAACAAAGGTCTGCAAAGCACACAGTGTGGAAAGCATATTCAACACCAAAAAAATTGGATTTAAATAGAAACAGATCTATCTACAATATATGGCAATGGAGGGGAGAAAAGGGATCTTCTTTTCTCTCCCCTGTGTCACATCTACCAAATCGAACCTGAGCGTCGCGGAGGAGGATTAGTCGTCACACCCGCGAAGGAAACGATTCGAGTTTGTAAGCGGAAAGTCGGGACTTCTAACCCGCGTGCTCGACGATCTCGCTGACCAGGACTCCATCCTTGACGTAGGACTTGATCTGCTCGGGAAGCGGGCACTCCTTGGTGTCGTCGTCGGTGCCCTCCTTGGGGGGCAGCATGACGTTGATGGCGGTGGACTTGCTGGAGAAGACCTCGGTGGCCAGGCTCTGCTGGCCGAGGTAGACGGTGGCGCCGTCGACCTGGTCGAGGAGCAGGGTGGGGACGACGCCGTCGATCTGCAGAGCGAACTTGGCGGACTTGATGACGTCGAGGCTGCTGACGAGGGAGTCGACGATGATGGACAGGCCGGTGCAGTTGTCGATGGAGATGGCGTTGGCCTTGTTGCTGACCTTGATGATGGTCTTGTTGCAGCGCGAGATCAGGATCGACTGGTTCTGCTGGGCGTTGATCTCGACGATGCCGCCCGGGTTGTCGAAGTGCTCGACGAGCCACTTGTTGCCCTCCAAGTCCTTGCGCGGCGGCTTGCGCGAGCGCATACTCTCGGGCTTGGGCTTGGTGCTGGGCGGCGCAGGGGACCGGGCCCGCGACGTGGGCGAGGAGACGGAGCTGCCTTGCGAGCTGGGCCGCTCAGGCACCACGGAGCTGGTCCGCAGGCTGGGGTTCTTGTGCGTCATCTCGGACTTGTCGACCTTGCGGAGGCCGGAGGTCACGGCGTCGCCGCGGTTCAATTGGTCGAAGACGGCGGACATGTCGGGGCTAGAGCCGGGGGCGCTGGAGGGAGGTGGGGGGACGCCGGGGGGCGGAGGCGGAGGCGGGGGAGCGCCGCCATTACCGCCAGAGACGTTGATAGTAGGTACAGGGGGAGGGGGAGGGGGAGGGGGCGCGGTTCTATTTTCGCTAGGGGATGAGGCCGAGCTGCTGCCGCTCTTGACCTGGCGCAGGGCCTCTTGGGCGTCGATGCCGTCCTGGTCGTTCCAGGTCAGACCTTTGGGGTAGTGTTTCTTGAGGTAGGCGGCGAGGGATTTGAAGATCTGGTAGTAGGCTTGGATGTATTGGACATGAGTGCGGTCTCTGTAAGGGCAACGTTAGCAGGTGCCAAGCTGGAGTTTGGGTGGAGTACGCACTTCTCCTTGTAGTCCTTCAGTACTTTGTTGCCATAGTATTCGATGCCGCCAACAATTTCAGTGACGAAATCAGCAGGCTTGCTGGCGAAGAACCAGCCAAGAGCAACAATGCCCTCCGCTACTGCGCTCAGGTGGTTGAACAAATGCGAGGCCCGGTTAGACTCGCGGATGTTATTGATGCTGTCCGAAGCATTGTGAAGCTCCGTCATGAGCTCCGGGGGCTGCTGGTCGGGCTTCTTGGCTTTAGTCGAGACGTAGAGGTAGGTGCGCTCGGCTTCGAAGGCCTGCTGAACGGCTCTCGACTAACAAAAAGCTTTAGCTGAGGGAACATGAATTGGATCATATAGCCCAACGTACCTGCTCGCCGACCAATCCATTAATCTTCTGTCCCAATTCCACGAAAGTCCGCACGTCTTCGTTGATCAGTGTGTCGAAGTCCTGGATCTGTGGCGGCACGGGAGGAGCCGCGGGGGTAGCTGGAGGAGCCGCCTTTGGAGTCTCAGGAGTGGCCGTCTCAGGCGCAGCGATAGCACCGATGGTCTTGGGCGAGTTGGGGTCGTCCAGCGACATCGCCATGTCTTCCAGGCGGGAAGTCGCGGCTTCCAGCCTGTGGTGAGGTATACATGGTCAGTGTCATGAGGGGGACATTGAATGAAGTCTGGAGGTTGAATTCCCAATACATCCGGCGCCTGGATCGCAATAACGTACCGCTTGATGAGGGTTGTGAGATTATGCATGTGGCTTCCTGACGCCATCTTGAAAGCCCCTGTTGAAGTAAGGAGGTAGGTATCGGAGAATAATCAGGGAGAGACTAGGTCAGAAGGCTACGGGTTGTGAATGCAAGCTGTGCAATTCAAATGATGAAAAGCGGCAGCAGCAGAAAGAAAAGAGAGAGTTAGGCTGCTGAGCAGAAGAAGGGAAATGCTGTGGAAGGCAGCAACAATTGCGAGTGAGGAGGTCAGTGGGATGATGTTGATTGACAGATGATGGATGGATGCTCCCTGAACCAACAACCCCCCCGGCCCGCAGTGCCTGAGGCTAGAGCATCGGGCGGTGGGCCCAGCCACAGCTTACCGTAGCTATACTGTACTATTACCACTGCTACCCCCCGGTAACCTTCCAGCAGCCAAACGCTCGGTCTCTGCGCAATGACGTTGCTGTATCAGCCCCGTCATCAATCCGTCCTTTCTTCCGATAAGGAAGAAATCATACTCGTACCAGAAGAGTACCTTACTTACCTCCCCTCCAGCCCCCGCCCATCGCATACTACACCAAAATATAGACACGTTGAGATAGAGGCGATTGTCTCCTGGGCACAATGGCAGGCAACAATAGGCTCTCATCCGAAGACAAGGTCGATTTTTGCACCCTGGGCATGTTCATCCTTGGTACGCTAACTTACACACGTTTGTTGACCACCATCTTTCCAATATATACTTACTGGCACCCCACCGATCATTGTAGACGATATTGACTTTGAAGGAACAAGACCCCCCGTCAAGAATGTCCTCGGTGGCGCTGCATCTTATGCAGTCATTGGCGCACGCCTCGTTGCTGGGAAAGAGTATGCGCGATCCGTGAGCTGGATTGTTGATGTTGGATCCGACTTCCCCACAGAGGTTCTAGATGTTATCAGATCCTGGGATACAAATTGTATCATAAGAGAAGATCATGGGCGACTTACCACAAGAGCCTGGAATGGCTACGGGCCGAACGAAAAGAGGGGTTAGTGCATTTGCAGTTGCTTCTGTCCGTCAAGCTCACACATGACTGATAAGCTGCTCCAGATTTCAAGTACTTGACACCTAAATTGCGGCTAGAGCCGTCAATGCTATCGGACGCACAAGTGCTTTCAAAGACCTTCCATATGGTCTGTTCCTCGTCACGCTGTATGTCTATTGTGCAGGAAATCTTGCGACGGCGGGAGCAGTTACAACTAGAGGGCAAATTACCCTTGTCTGTCTCGGCCACGCAGCGACCTGTCTTCGTCTGGGAACCTGTCCCAGACCTTTGCACTCCTGAAGAGCAAGAAACCTTCTTGGCTGCGATAAAAGTCGTAGACGTCGTGAGCCCCAATGAACTAGAGCTTGGGATGATGTTTGGCCAACCCGGCTGGAGCGAAGAGACAAGCTACGGGAAAGCTATTGTGGAGAGGATTCTTTCCCAAGGCATTGGGCTTGACGGGAATGGACATCTCGTTATCAGAGCTGGTAAAGATGGCAGCTATTCGTTTTCCCGAAAGCAGAGACTCTGGCTGCCCGCGTACCACCAGCCCGATACGTCGATGCCGTCACCTGTGGTCGATCCCACTGGAGCCGGAAATTCATTCCTGGGAGCATTGACTCAAGGAATGGTCAGCTCGGGTAGGGCTCCTGCCAATATTGTCGATTCGGTGCTCGCGCAATCTACGACCTGGCGAAGGGCAAAGAAGGCTGGCAGCGCCCATGAGCATTTCCTATCAGCTCTGGTCTTCGCTACCGTAGCGGCGAGCTTTGTGGTTGAGCAGATTGGCGTACCGCAGATTTCTACATCTACCGATGGAAGAGAGCTTTGGAACGAGACTGAGTTCACGGAACGGGTCCGTCTGTACACACAGCGCTTGTATCGAACACTTGAAGAGTCTCCTCAGAAGCACTCGCAGATCAACTGACCGGTTGAAGAACGCCCTTCTATTGTCGTACAGCCCTCAAAAAAATGATGAAAACAAAACCTATCATGCCACAGGAGACCTTCGCAATTGCATTTTATCCCACTCGCTTCTTATTTCCTGCCAACCACATTATGAATCCTGCTTCGAGGCTTGTTGTTTTCTCTCGTGTTCGATGATTTCCCTGCTCCAGCTATATAGACGAGATAGAGTCAATGACCACATGCTTAGAAACGCTTGACAGGGGATTGGCTGGGTTAAACTGACTAGCGACTAGGGAAGAATCTGCCAGGCTCGGGCATCTTGTCGCGGTGCTCACGGTCGGCGCTGATGCTCCAGACAGTAGCAGCAATTCCAATCACTGTGGCACCCATGATGGCGGTGTTGAGCTTCCAGTTCGCGGGCTGAGCATACCAGCCTCCGGCGGGAGACCAGACTTCCTTGGGATACCTGCGCGCGAGCCATCGGTCAGCGCAACACGGGGGACTTCAGAAAATCAAAACATCACATACGGGATCTTTCCGCCTCCACCCATTGTGATTGAAGGTATATGAATTGAGCGGGTTGGGAAAAACGTGGACAATGGCTCGCTGGAAAGCGTTGTTCTGGCGGGTTTGAAGCCGAATTGGCCGTCGTTCGTCCCTCCAGTCCCGGTCCCAGACCCCGTGACGCTATGTCTGGAATAGGTTTAGCGCTCCATGGGCGACTTTCTCACACGACCGCCAAACCCAAACCCCGTGACTTCCGCCGAAGTTGTTGCTCGCTCAACTTTTCTCTGGCGACCAAAAGTTCGTACTGACAGCCCGTTGGACAGCCCGTTGGACGACCGTCTTCCCCCGTTTCCTACCCTCCAAGCCCCGACACAGTCCTTAACTGGATATACGGTCAATCGCCATTTCTTCGGCTTAGGGTGCCTGTCAAGTTCACACAAATCGCACAGATGAAGAGACTGCACCTCCAACGATGGAGCAGTTCGGTCCTTTCGCCGCAGGTCCGGGCTGGAAGTAGACTGCAGCGACGTATACAACACGGTATTCGGTATCAGACGACGACTTCTATCCCTGCCACGGCTGCTGAGGCCGAACAATCGATCGAGGAACAAGCTCCTCCCGCATCAATTCGCTCCCCTCGTTCAAAAGTCACCAAGCACTCCCTCCCTTCTCCGCCTGTCAAGGCCGCACGCGAGTCCGCGAAACTCGCTGCGCTCCATGCACGACTTTACCTTCCTTCACGACTTCCTCTTGAGACCCTTGCTCGCTGTCTCGTGGATGAATCGGCTGATCCTAACCACAACTTCAACAATGAGTCTTTGGCTACCCTTGGTCATGACCTCCTGACCCAGTACACCTCCGAATACCTCATCTGCACATATCCCCGTCTTCCCATGACGGTCATCTTCGCCGCCATGTTTGCCTATGTCGGCCCCAAGACATTGGCTGCTATGTCGAGGGAATGGGGTGTGGAGCTAGCTGCTGCACCTGGTGGAGAGGTCGACCCTGGCCACCTGCAGTTCACAAGAGCCGCCCCAGGTGTCGACCCGAATGCAACCCCTATCGCTACGAACAGAACTTACGAGGAGCAGACGACATGGCGGAGGTCGATCACGTCGAAGATCGTTTACGACGATGTTTTCGGCGACCCCACCAAGGCCAGCGTTGACCCGCGAAAACAGGCCCCGGCAACCGACCGGTACGCTGCAGGCGTGACCCCCGAAGCGGCCGCCTCCCAGTTCGTCCGCGCTGTTATCGGCTCCATCTACCTCCATGCTGGCCGTCCGGCTGCCAAGCGTTTTTTCGAGCAGCACTTCCTTTCCCGTCACCTCAACATCTCTGATCTGTTCAACTTCCGCGAGCCGGCTCGTGATCTTTCCCGCCTATGTGCCCGTGAGAACTTTGAGCCCCCAGTCGCCAAGATCCTCAGTGAAACCGGTCGCCTGAGTCGGCACCCAGTCTTCGTCGTTGGCATCTACTCCGGCCAGGATAAGCTGGGCGAGGGTGCGGGTTCTAGTTTGCTTGAAGCCCGGTCCCGGGCGGCCGTTGCTGCCCTCAAGGCCTGGTACCTGTACAGCCCGCTGGAAGTGCGTCTGCCCAACTCGATGGAAGAAGAGGGAGCCGCCCCCTGGAAGCCCGTTCACGTGGATCTGGGGGAGGTGATTGTGTAAAGAGGGGGGCGGTTCATGAGAGCAGTGTTTGGAAACGGCGTCACATTTTGATATAGACCTTGTCAAGGTGGCAATTGACGGCAAGCAACATTTACATATTATTCCTACCAATTTCGCAATTTTCGCAAGGTTCTGTACAATACGGGAATTTCTACTTCATCTGATGTTTTCTATCATGTTGTGTTCTTTTATTTTTCATTCTTGTTATAAAGCTCGTCCCTTTTTCTTTATACCAATAGAGATTCGCAATGGGAAGGGGGGGGGGAGGTGTGGAATGTACCAAAGACGAAAAATTGTTTGGGAGATCCAGGTGGCTGAATCTACATGTACTCAATAAATCCAATGGATTCTATATGTTCACTTTTCGGTCTTTATACTCCCCATAAAGTCTGCCTCAACTGACGAGAATATCTTAAACTCAAATTGATGGAGATGGAGGTGCCTGTCCATCCAGTTCCACATATAATCCCACAGCTCTACTCAAGATTGATCTCACCTTTCCCTCGAGTCCCCAGCTAGCGTTCTTCTCCCGCCGAGGTATCCAGATATCGACCATACTCCTCCCACAACTCCTCAACCCCAGCCCCAAACAAACCCCGCCAGAACCCTTCCCCTCGCTTTTGTGACTCTTCCCCCTTCCCCTTCCCCTCTCCGTCCCCGTCGTCATCCTCACCCACATACCCAACCCTCAACAACCGATCATTCACTAACCCCACCGCCCCCCTCCCGACGCGGACATCCTCCAACCAGGCCAAGAAATACGCCGTATGCTGGTACCCCTGATCCCACTTCTCGGGACGCTCCGCCGCCGACCGCGGCCGCTGCCAGTGCGGCGGCGCCAGCCCGGCCTTGAGGCGCACGAAGTCGGCGATCCCCTCGATCAGGCCCCCGGGCGGGTGGGGGGTGTCGTCGTCGTCGTCGGGCGCCGTGTGCTGGTAGCAGTGGACGAGTTCGTGGGTGAGGACCCCGACGATCTCGGCGCGCGTGGTGGAGGGGGTGGATCGCTCGGTGCAGGTCGCGATGTAGGAGAGCGAGAGGTGGATCTCTTTGTGGTCCCGGTCGAGGTCTGTGCCTTTTGTGTAGGCGACGCCCGGGATGGGGCGGAGGTGGGTGGTGATGGAGCGGGTCGGGGGGAGGGTTGGGGTGAATGTTATTTGGGTTGTGGGGGGGGTGTTTGGTGTTGGAGGTGTTGGAGGTGTTGGAGGGGATTTTGGGAGGGATGGGGATGATGGGGGGGGTGGGCAGGTGTAGAGAGTTTGGAGGATGGTGGTTAATGCGGTTTCGAGGGTGGAGGCTAGATTGGGGATTAGGGTGAGGAAGGTGGTGACGGAGGGGTGGCGGAGGTCGTGGATCTGGAGGAGGAGTTTGGGGGTGGGGAGTGCGGGGTTTGTGGTGGTGGAGGTCGAGGGGGAGAGTGAAGTTGAAGTGGTGACCTGCTGCTGCTGCTGCTGGTGTGAGGTTGAGGTGAGGTTGGTGGTGTTGGGTGTGCTGCTGCTGCTGGTGTCTGGTTTGGTAAGGTTGATTGGTAGTGTAGTGGCTTGGGGGGGAGGTGGTGGTGGTGAGATTCGGGCCATTGTGGGAGGTGAGCTATTCAGCGTGTTGGTATAGAGGTGAGTGTGGTCGGAGTATAGAAGTTAGCGGACGGTTGTGCAGGTTAATTATATAGTTACTGTGTAAGCTAAAGATTGGCGCGTGCACGCGAATCTACCGTTCTGGTCTCTTAGTAGTGTTAGTTGAATCATGCATGCAGACACGCGGTAACATTAGCATGCCGCATGGTCTTGACAGGATCCACCATCCATTGTTCCTCCGACTTGGAGTCGGTTCCACTTGCTGAACTAGACAAGATGCAGCGCCTGTAGTCTATGCACCGTGCACCAGGAAGAATAATCATGCAGTTCTGCTTGTGGTTTGCCCGGCCATGGCATGGCAGGCTCAGCTGGTCCAAGTGTCTGTTCGTCGGCCACCAAAGAATGGCCTGATCCACCCCCGGCGCGTCGATCCGGTGGAGTTGCTGCCGTTTAATCGATCAAGAACTCATGGTATTCAGTAGTTGGGAAGGTGGTCGGGACACACAATACTCGAACTTGGAGAAAGCTGCGATGCGACTCATTTTGCAGGTGTAATATTTCTCTCTTGGATACATCCAGCTGGTGTCGTGGTTTCTGAGTGTAGGAAAAACCTATGGGGATGCGAAAGTATATACGGAGTAGTACTAGTGGAGCGGAGTCGCGTTCGTGTTTAGATCTTCCCCCGCCCCTTTTCGTCGTGCAAGATCTCATCAGGCTTCGACTCATACCATGCATTGCTACACAAAGACCATTAACGATTACTCTTATTCTACAGAGTACCAAAACTTAGATGGTTGACTCGATGAGCGACTACCTGCACCGTCCGTGGACTTGCGTAGCTGACAGTGCCGTCTCTCCCCCCTTCGTTTCGAGTCCGCAAGGGAGGCACTACCACAAGGGCCAGGGAAAATAGGGAGCTGATACTATCGAAGAGGATCACCCTTTGATCAAGTACAAGCCTCCAAAAGCATCATCTTGGGTTGGGCAGCTTCATGCTGTAATAGACATAGACTACTACCCAAGCGACTGTACGTATCTACCTAATTATATGTAAGTTGAGTTAGCTGCCATAACAACTCGGCTCGCCCAAAGCGGAGCAACCATGGCTCCGGCGGCGTTGCGGGTAAACAAAGCCAACTGAAAAAAAAGATTATTCAGGGACAATAACAACAACAAATCATCATTACAACCACCACTTTCTCTCGTCTTCCGCCCCCCCACTTCCCACCTCCTGGCCTCGACTAGAAATAATCCCCTCCTCTCTGCCTGTCACACTTGAAGTGCTGATATCCCTTCACATACCAATCTCCTTGTCAGGGCTCAATTGATCCGTCCCTCTCCCCCCGAAGTGGAGTTGAATTCATAAGCGCTTATCGCCGCGGTTGGTCGCTTATCGGCCTAGACTCAGGCTCCTTCCCCTCGATAGTTACGACTTCCTTCCCATCTTCAATCAACCACCACCACCACCTCCTCCTCCTCCACCACCACCACCGCATCTCTCCCGACCGACCCTCATCCGCTCCTTCTCTCCTCACCAACGAACTCGTCGCCGCGACTGCCTTTACACGATCCAATTATTCGCGCACCTGCCACACGAAGCACACTGTTCACAGGTATGAATGACCTCGACTTCGCGCGCCCCCCCTCCCCCCGATTCCTCTCCTCTTCAACTGTCCCAACCTTTCTCAACTCTATACACACACACGTTCGTCAAGCGTCTCTGCGAGCGTTCTCAGCTTC